AGAGGAAGAAGCTCTGCTAGCAGGAGGAGAGGGGAACAGAAGTCTGATTCCTCTCAACCCTCTACCCTGTCTGGAGTCTTGGGGCAGTGTAACTTATAAGGCCAGCTTTCTCTCTAAGTACAATGGGAGTGGGGAGAGAAGCCCTGATCTAAGTTTTTTGTGTATTTTAGGATAACAGACAAAATGCTTAAATATTTGGGATTATTAGCCATATGGTTATAATGTATTTGAATGTCTCAGAGGAGTCAATAGGATTTGGTTAATGGAAGATGTAGGAATTCTGTTGGGAGATGGATGCCTAAATCCTTTAGTCAGCTTTGTTGTTCTCAACCAGGTTCTGTAGAACAAAATTCCAATAGTGTAATGAGTGTTTGAAAACACTCTGTATAAATTAAATATAGCTCCACTTGTGGGCTGTAATGCTGTTTATTCCAAAGTATACCGCTAGTTGGTTACTCACTGAGGCATATTATGCCACAAAACATTATTTTTTTTATAGGAGAGGCAGAACTCAAGTCCATATCTACTTGCAAGGTTTAGAGGACTTGGACTTTGCTTATAACCATAGCTGAGTGATTCCAATGTATTCAGTCTGTAGTTACCATTATTTATTATAACAAGAAATATGCCATTAGCTAGATACTATATTCAGTCTTCACTTTGTTTATAGGCTGCATGACTGAATTTTCCATTATGATTCACATAATAGTAATGTGAACCTTGACCCAATGATTGCCAAACTTTTGCATGCAGATTGAGTAGTTCGGTTCACTTTGTGTGTCTTGCAAGCATTTTAAAATAATTGTTTAATCCTGTGCAATTAATAGTTTTATAGATGACTAATAGAAGAAGAGCCAAAACATAATTACTAAACCTATGGGAGTCAATTTTTTGTCAAAGTCCAGATTTCTTGGGCAAGGGATAGTTCAGACTCCAGAGAAAGTAATTATAAAAATAACAACAGAAATGATAAATAAAAAGATTTGGGGATCCATTGAAAAGTGTCTGATAGTCCAGATTTGGTCCATGGTCTGCCTCTTGACCTTTCCCTGGCCTAAATTTTAGAAAGGTTCACATATGGATCCAAGCTTTGCACCTGTTCAGTCTCTCTAGCACGCAACACTGTAAAATAATTGTTTTTAATTCCAGACTTTGGAAAATAAGAGACTATCTCTAACCAAATTTCAAGCTGACTTGTAACAGTCAAAGGCTTTATGTGGTGTACAAGTTCCTTATAAAACCCCATCAATTCCAGATTTTAACCTCTTGGCATGGGCTTATTCACTTTCTTTACTTATACAATTAGGACTGTTCTCTTTTCCATCAAAATTAATAGCAAAACTCTTAATTGAACTGACATCTAGTTGTATGCATAGCATAAGGGTTAAATAGTAAAACCTCTAGTATTACTTCAGCATTAAGGGTCTGATCCATTGAAGTCTACAGCAAATCTCCTATTGACTCCAGTGGTGCAGGATGAGGTTTCATGGCCTTGTGTTGACAAAGGATGAAAGTTTGAGAAGGTACTCTTGGACAACCAAAATGTTGAACTGAATAATCTCTGAAGAGTGAAACAAATCTCTGAAGAAGGTTCGACTGATCAGCAATTTGGTTTTCTCAGAAGTAGAAAGATACAAAATGATGCAAATCCTCGTTATTGTTCCTGTGACTTGTGTCCCTGCAAGCTTCAATATACCATACGTAATCACAGTTGCACCACTTCAAAAAGTGCCATTATGCTGCTGAGTGATGGCTAAAAACCTTGGGATTTCCAGTTCTTTTTTTCATTATCTCCTCCTAGAATGGACACATTGCACATTATTCACTGCATTGCTTATTGTAAGACTGTTGGGTTCTTTCATAATACTATAGCTTCAGAGATAACTTAAAATAGATAAGTTTTTTTTGTTGTTGTTTTAGTTGTGTAGACTATGCAGTATTGTTCCTTTAGCAAAAACCTATTTTGCTAAAAGGAAGGGGGAAAATATTTCCACTGGAATCCAAATGAAAAATAACCCCCAAAACTTCCAGAGATGATTGGATTTAATTTGTGAAGATATGTAAGGAGTCTTCCAAAAAGCCACAAGGAAAACCAAAGCTCCCATGACTGGGTCATAGGCCGCCAGAGCACCCAGTCACAAGATGGACTCGTGAATCAGAAGGAAGAGACAACTGTAAGGTTGTGAACCACATTCAGATGCCAGGAGTCCAGCTGGCCTAGTTTGCCATATGGGGGAACAGGAACCCAGTCATTCATACAGCTTTTTGTTCTTGCTGTGAGCTTAAGAAGGGCCAGTAGGCCAATCAACTGCTCTGAGACTAATAGGACTTTGTGGAGTAGAGCTTTAAGCTGGCACTGGGTTCATGTTTTCTTGGTAAGGAATTTCCAGTAGGTGGCCAGGTGGACGGTTGGAGTAAGCCTGCACTTGCAAACTTTGCAAACTGAGGTTTGAGACCACGAGTCGTGACGTAGGTCTTTATCATCTTGGGGATAGCAAAGGTTTTAGAGTTTGTGGAACAATAATAAACTCGGTGGTTAAAGGAAACATTGAAGAGTTACAGCGAATTATTTGTTGAGGATGCAAAAAGTTAATTAACTGTGGATTAGAATAATAGATTGCAGAGTGATAGTCCTCCAGAACAAATCCCTCTCTTTATGAAGCAAATACATTGTGTTTATTGTGCATAGTCCTACTGGGCTCTTGCTGCAGTTCAAAAGCGGAAGCTCCGCAGGCAGTGCGGGGCCAGCAAGGTACTGGCCTTGTGCTCCCTGCAGCACCTCAGCCTTTGAAATATACAAGAGCCCCAGTGGGGCTTTTGTACATTTCAAAAGTAAAATAGTAGTAGAAGCATCACAAGCAGAGACTACTTCAGTCCCTGCTTGTGCCATTTCCCACTGTGCCTCTACCTCCCTGGACCCCCCGGAAGTGGTGGTGGTGAGGAATTGTCTTTTAAGATGGCTCCCCCCAATACCGGCACCTGTTTCCCTCACCAAGCAAGGGGAAGTGACTAGTTGCATCACTAGTCGACTATTTGATAAGCTTATACCTATCAGTCAATTAATCGACTCGTTGCTTACATGCTTAGTGACAATTGAACCATAGCAGCGCTTTGATTGCAGGGGGGAGCATACTGGCTCAGTCAGTGTTGCATGCAATCAGCACTCACCTCACTTCACGTGCCCTTGCTTTACATATGTGTCACTTTAGTAATACCAGTTTTGGGGGGGGAAGCCGAAAACCTATGTGGACAGAAAACAGTGGACTCTGGCAACCTTGTGTGTGGGCAACAGTTAACAACATGTCTTGGGACCACACGTAGAACCCCAGTAGGCCGTATGTGGTCCTCAAGCCACAGGTTGCTCGCCACTGTCCTACCCTGTCACTAAGGACTTGATCCTGCACCCACTCAAATCAATTGTTTCGGTATCTTTTAAGAGTGCAAGAAATTGTGACAAGGAATCACTGTTTTATTCCCACAGAGCAAGGCAACTTACATATATATATTTGCTTGGTTGAGAAGGAAAATAGAAAATATTCAAGTCACTAACTTAGTAATTCTCTAAATCAAAATCATTTACCAAGCGAAGTGGAAAGTTTAGTTTTAGATTTACTAAATATATTGTTAAAAACAAAATACTTTTTGCATTGGCTAAGCATGTTTCCTGTTAAAAAGGATTTGTCAAAATAGCATGACAATTCACATACTCTTTTCCTTTAAAATGTATCCCTATATATCTATCTGTTCAAACATTCTTGGATTTTGGTCAGTATAGTATGTGAACCTCCAGACAGGATAGAGAAACTGATATTTTAAATTTTAAAATATGCATTGTGTGTGTATTTATCTGTGGAGAATACATGACTGCAAGAAATGAAAGGTGGAAGAAAGGTTTTATTGGAGTATGTTAGAGATTGCGGCATTGGTAGCAGAGACATGAATAAGTTGCCCAATTATTTCTATACTAGAGCCAATAAAACATTTATAGTACATCACCCATATTCCGTATTCTGTATTTCATGTCCCATATAATTTACAGGAAAAAAAAGTTTAAAAACTTTTTCAGAAAACTTGGTTTTATTGATCTTTTTTGTATCTCTTTGTCTATAAAACTAAGGTCCTTGATCAGTCCAAAAGTGTGAGGCTTAGAGAGAGAATGATGTGTCTTTTGAAAATGCATCTGTTGAAAAAATAAATACAAATGATCTGATATTTCCCAACCTATTAGCACTGAAATTGAAAACTTTGGGCTTTAAAAAGGGGCTTTTCAATGGTCATATGCACCCATTTCTAACCTTCATGGTTTGCAAGATATTGGACCTTAGCTTTAGGCTAGTGATAGGTTTGATTTTCCCTGCAGTATTAGATGAAATGGCACAGCTATGTGAAAAGAAGAAGAAACTTATCTGCTAGGGTGTTGGAAAGAGAAATCAATTATTTGAAGCTGCCTGAAGGCTTGGAATATCAGAAGCTGCTTTGGTAGAGATGGGAGTATGAGTGGGCAGCGGATTGGTAAAATGATCAGAGGTCATGGTAAAAGTCAATGATCACAGTCATAATTCTATAAACACATGGATTTCACTATCACACATGTAATATAAATGTATATGTAATCTAATCTGTCATCTCTATTGGTTACCTACAAAAAATGTGACTTTTATCAGAAAGCTGAAGGATAGCTCTTTTATAAAGCAACATTATGACTATTAATAACTTTCAGTGGGGGAAATCTGTCATTTAAAATTAATGCCTCCATTTCAGCAAAAGTTAGGATATAGGAGCCATTTGCAAATTGCATTTCCCTGACATGGAAGTCAGTCTCTCCTCAATCCAATGAAATATGTTTGAAAATGCAAGCAGGGTTAGTTCTTAAAACAAGCGACACGCAAAAATAAATTGAATGATGTTTTACATATTATTTTCTCTTTCAAGTGTGAAAGAATAAATGTTTCCGTCATACACCGTTAAGTGATTGCATTTTTCTTTTTGTTTTTTTGCAGGTTGTCTTAGTCTTTGCTCTTAGTATTGGTGCTCTTGTAATATACTTCATAGATTCGTCAAGGTGAGTATTCTAATACATTTCCCCTCTTTTCCTAAAGCAATTATATGCTTTAAATTGCTCCATTCATCTACTTCAACTCAAAGCTTTTTATACTCCTCACCTGAATGCAAAAGAACTTTATAATAGTTCATAATCTTCTAGGAGAGGTTTAGGTATGAGGGAAAGATGTTTTGTGAACTGCATTAGTTTTGGTTATATGTGGTGCTAGAGAAGAAGAGGATAGAAAAGAACATTCCTCTGAGTTTAGAGCATGCATACTGCAGGAACGTATTATACTTCTGGTTAAGCTGACTCTATCCTTGAAGGATAAAAGTAGAATAGAGAATGTAGAGAAGGCAGATGGACTTGAGAAATTATAAAGATAAATAGCGTGTATCTAAGGAGACTTCCAGGAACTCCTTAAAAAACACGTTAAAACCCTCTATGTAGTAAAAAGCACTGTTACCTCTTTGGATTACCAAATTCTAAGTTTGATGGGCTTATCCCAGGCCATGCAAGCTAAGCTTGTAGGACGTGCAAAACATTTAACCTTTTTTGTGTGTGTGTGTAGGGGGGAGGGGAATGAATAAAATGTGGTTCCGTGCTGATGTTTCAATGAGAGGTGGTCAAAGTTTCCTCATGACTGTACATCATCAGTGGAAACGTAACAGAGGTGGTCAAAGTTTCCTCATGACTGTACATCATCATGACACATCAGTGGAAACGTAACCGTCCTGTTGTCATGACAGAGGTGATTGAAACTAATCTTATATCCTCCCCTTTGAGACTTATGTAAGCAGTTCTGCTTGTGGCAAGGAGAACATCAGTTGCTGGTGTAAGATTGCCTGGCTCAGTGGCCTCTCATGGGCAAGAGGCTTGGTAAGAAGAAAATGGCAGTGGAGTTAATAGAAATGTTGATCAGTAGAATTTCCATTAGGGTGGGTATACCCACTCAGGCATCAGCGGCATGATAAGGCAGTAAGATTGTGAACGCAGTTGACCATGTAAGTTTGAGCATGGGTTTTTTTTTTTTGCTGGTACAGTTTAGCACACCTCAGTGACTGTACTTGAACCAGCTTAGCAAAAATGAGAGCAGCCTCCCTGCAGAATAACACTTTAGCTCCACAAAGTGACCTGACGAACCGCTCGGCATGACGGGATTATTAGTCGAGGAGCTGTTGTAATTCAAGCTGCAGCATCCTCAGTGCATCAGCGGCCCTTGAGCTCATTTTCCTCCCCTTTCATTCCTCACAAGCTGGCTATTGCAAGTTTAAAGTGCCGCTTGACTTGAGGTAAGGGTTTTTGTCTGTAGCCAGGAGTCAGGTTAACAGCAACACTTCAGTTGTACCTTGAGCTAACAATGCCATGAAGGCGAGCCCTAGGACTTCTGACCGTGCAATTAGAGTTTTTATGAGCTTCTCATCCTAGCTAATTTCTCCTTATTGTGTTACCCTGCCAGCTGTGGCTGGTCTGAAAGTAAAAGTGAAGTATCCTTGTATAGACTAACTTCACTGCAAAGCCGTGGCCATACTTACATGCACTATAGAATGCTCCATTGAAAGGGTCAAATAAACAACGATGACATGGGTAGATTAAACTGTTACTCCTGATTTTATTTTTATTTTTATTTTAGCCCAATTAAATTCTGACGCTGGTGGCAGTGTCCTCACTCCCTGGAGCCCCTCATCTGCTGTGAAGCTGTACAACATTATAGTATTTCTTGAGCCTTGCCTGCCTCTATATGTCAGCTTCTCTTTTTCCCGTTTTCACTTAGTTTCTTTCAACTTATTGGGAAGATATTCTGGGGGTGTTTAGGCATATGTAGACCATCTCATCTGTGTAGTACTACAGTTGTATTGCTATTTCTCACCTTCTGAGCACTGAGTTGCAAGTTCTCATCAATTTACTCATCTAATATTAAACTAAGAAATGCTGTTTCCAGCAACCTCAAACCAACAGTCTCTCTATTAATGGATTATTTTAGGGAGCTTCCTCCTTTACTAAGAGGAAAGTAACCCTTACTACCTTAATTTAGATCTAGAAGCTCCACAGTTAATTCCCTGCAATGAAAAGCTCTGAATCAACTTGTTGCATTAAGAAGCTGATCTGATGTCCATTACAAGGATGTGGAACCATATGGAGTGAAGTATCGGCCTAAGACCCCCAATGTAGATCTCCAGTACTGTGTGTAATGCAAGTAATTCAGAGTTTACACTGTGCAAATACTCTACTTCTGTCCAAACCATGAAAACAGTCCCATGTTAGAAATGTAGTGGTTTCGAACCAATGGTTGATATAAAATCTCTAGGGAGACTGTAAAGGCTAATATACATATAAAAGTGCTACCTGGGAAAAAAGCAATCAAAATGGGACTGCTCTGTTAACTGCACAAGATTAACTTTCATTTTCTGTATATTTGCACTTCTGCCCCTCTGAATAAAGATCAGACTAGCCAATCAGCAAATAAATGGGGTTGCAAACTTGTAATAACATAGGGTGTTACACACACTGTGCCTTTCCATTGCCCTAAACCATTTGCCCCAGTGCAAAACCTGTTTTATTCAGATTCGTTAGCACATTTTATCTCTCTCACACTCGCTTTGAACTGGTGGAATTGGAGCATGGCAGCAGAAAATCAGGTACATTTCCTGGTTTCCAAATGACTCGGCAAGTTCTGCACTTTTTTTTAAAGCAAACTCTGTAAATCTGTAGGCTAACTCGGTTACAGAAACTCAAGGTAATATTGAAGTAAATGTTGTCACTAACGTTTACAAATGGCTGGCAAAATTTGGCAGAATATATTCTAAAGTGAGGGCAAGTAAACCTCATGCTTCAGGGTGTCCAGCATAGGACGGTGTGATGCTTCCCAGGCTGTGATGCATCTCACTCCCACCTGCCCGTAACATGAGGAAACCTCGTCTGTGATTGTCATGGGTCAGTTCCCCCACTCCATGAACCACTGGCAACACTCCCCTTGGAGTTCCTGTTATCACTCTGCAGATTAGCAATTGGCATGCTCCAACCCTGGAGCCCTCTGTCTCCCAAGAGCAGCCAATCCCACGTCCATTGCAACAGCACGATACTCACTGCTTTACTGCATCTGAAAAAACAGATACCCCAACTTACCAGTTCCCCCTCAGGTCACTGCCCTAGTAAACAACAGCATTGAGATAAGGTTGTAATGAAATCGAGCATGTTTCGTGACCATAGCAGAGATTTAAATCTTAGCCAGTAGATATACAGAGAACAAACGGTTACGTACAAAATAAAATCATCACATGCACCTTCTAAATCCTAGGCATAATCGACAAGATACTATCATGGCTTGCAGAGTATTGCTCACCCAAAATCTTGCAGTGCTTTACAGCTAGATGCATGCACTAATAGAAAATTTGGATTTGCCGCCATTCACAATCTGTATAGTGTATGGGTATAAATTGGTTATCAACAGATTTGAAGGGCTCTGACAGCCAAGCTGGCTGCAACCCTCATATCATAAGACATGCGCACAGCGCCATGAATTAAGCATCCAGAATGTTGCTTTCCACTCCAAGATATCCCCAAATAACCCTTTGTCTTCATTAGTAAAGAGGACATCTGCTGGCTGTTGGTTTATTACTGTGAATTTCTTCTCTTATAGATTTTGCAATCTCTCCTTATGCAAACACACATCTATCTCCCTGTCTGACCACTTATGAATTGTATGCCTCACTTTGCATGCCAGTCACCTCCTGACTGAAAGGGACATTTCTTAGGTCTGGTGACCTTCCTTCACTCCAAGTCCTTAAGAACACAATTTTCAATATAGATCTTTAACTCACTCAATATTATCCATATATTTTGCAGTGGGTATGAAAACCAGTGGATTACTAACCCTCAGTGGAGACTTCATATGTCTCTCTTAAGTGAACTATTATGCAGGTATCCAACACAGGGGTTCCCTGTAAAAGCCTATTTACCCCCATGCCCTCTGCCTGTTGGAATCCCTGGGTCACACAAGGACATACTGGATGGTTTCATACAATGCACATTGTCTGGGTATTTTACAGGATGGTTGGGTTCTCAATTGTCAGACTCATATGATTTATTTATTTTTAAGAGCACCTGTTGCCCTAGCCTAAAGTGTTTTTTTTAAATTATTTAAATGCAACTTCTGTAAGACACCAGACCATGAGCATCATTAAAGAAATACAGATGCCAAAATATTTGTTATAAAATCAACTGAAACAATAGGGTAAGCCAAGCATAATTTTCCTACATCGTGTCCTGGATCTGTAATGGGTGCAAGTTCTGGTAAATTGTGAGAGGAAGCAAATTCTAGAGGAAAGAGCCTTCAGCTAGGGAAGTCTTTTCTGGGTCTTGTCAGCAAGTGTCTCCTCATTCACCTTGAAGTGATGGATAGTCAGAAAAGGCCCTTTCAAAACACTGCCACCTTACTCAGGAGACCTGCTGCTGAGCGTATTTCTAAAGCAAATATGACTCTGTACTAACAAACAATAAGATTTCTCCCCTTCCCAACTGTATTTTTACTTGTGTTAGAATGTCTTGTCTTGTGCAGCTCTGGGAGAGTGAGCATGAGTCTATTCTGTCTCCAGGCTTACCAATCACTTATGGTTGCTTAAACTTCAATAGGCTGAATTGCAGTAGCAGAATCAGGAGGAGACAAAAGGGATGGAGGAATATTTTAGGTGCTGAACTCGAAAGGAGCGTTTTAAGATTTCCTGGCCAACCAACTAGGATTAAGAACCTACTGCTGGAAACCATGTTGGTGAAAGGCAGCCATATCCTAGATGGCACAATTCCTGAGCTTTTCTTTGATAAGTCCTAGAGCCATCTTGAAAGGTTTAGCAACAGGTCAATGAACTTTTATCCAGACCACTATTTCTGTAAGAAATATGACTATGTAGAATCAGTCTTTCTTCAACTGGAGGTGAAGACCCAACAATGATCAATATGTCAGTATATGGCTCAACGAAGTTATCCTCTATTAGACTTAGTTTTAGAACCACAGGAAATGGATG